AAAATATTTCTTTAATATTAATTAGTATTTAGTATTTCTTTAGTATTTTTACTTAATATAAATACTATTAGTATTTATACTAATTAGTATTTATTTTTAGTATTTACTAAACTAAGAAAAAATTAGTATTAGTATACTAATACTAATTTTTTCTTAGTATTAGTATACTATTAGTATTTTTTTTTTAGTATTAGTATACTAAACTAAACTAATTTCCAACCCTGCGGCTACAACAACTACGCATACTACAACGGCGGCAAGAAGTCACGCAAACACGGCCGTCACTACGCCTCAGCTGCCGGTGATTTAGCGGGAGCTTGGGCAGATTACAGCGGAGGGGGTCACCATGGAGGAGGCCACTGTGATGGCGGCGGCGGAGGCGGCGGCGCAGATGGTGGAGGTGGAGGAGGTTGTTCATAAACGGATGTAACATTGGGCTTTGGGGTTTCATGATTGATGTCTTGTAAGATAATGGCTTGGCGGGAGACATTGGATTTGTACATTTGTATTTTATTAGACCAGCAGCACAATCTGAGAAGCGTTCAAAACTGTATCATATACCTTTCGTGGGCATGCCCTGTCTTTTAGCTGTAAACCATGTCATCAGCTGGCTATGCAATGCCAGAACTGTCCAAGCATATTCAAAAGGTACATTATTACGATGCAAACATGCTTGGAAGGTAGCTGAGATTACAGCTTGGCTGGCCGAGCCTTGCTGTTCAGTGGAATAAGCTGACTGCTGCAACCTCTATCCGAAAGTTGTGGACTCATAGGCTTGCCAAACTCTCTTGGCAAGACCCTGATGTTGGTATTTAAGAATGGCCTGAAGTGCAAATGTTCAGAGCTCAAGACTATCATTAAATTTCTCATTATTTTCTTCAAACACAAGTGTCGAAGTCGTCCTTCAGGATAACAGGCTTGTCGTACCGATACAGCAGGACTCTCACTGCCAACTCAATTCACATATCTTTCATACAAATAAATATTTGGGTGAAGCCTTTCATCGTCCTTTGTATCAATGTGTCTTCCGTTCTTTAGACGAAAAAGAGATGAGGAAGATGATTACTACGCAAACAACTACAATACCACCAACAACGTCAACCAGGGAGCTGCTTACATTCGACTTCTTGGCGCTGGTCATCACTTCGTTGCAGACTGGGGCCAGGGCGGCAATAGTATTGGGGGCGAAGGCGGAGGCGGGGATACCGGGGCAACATACGACAGCTATGGCTGTGATGGCGGGGTTGGAGGAGATGGTGGAGGAGGCGGAGGAGGCGGTGGATGCGACGGGGGAGGTGGAGGATGCTGATGACTCATGAGAATATCTGTTCATACGTCGTTGTCGTTGAACGCAGTTGAGACCTTTGACCTCGGAGCAGGCTTTGACAATACAACGCGCAAATGCATTGAGAAACAAGCTCTCAAAGTCCACCATTACCCTTGTAGCCACAGAGAATAGCTCAACACGTAAGTAAGAACTTGGATGAAAGAACCTGGTTGAGTCTAGGGGTAAATTGAGTTATTGTTAGCCACCTGCGCTTAATCAAGATGGTTGAGACTAATCTGAGTCCGAAGGAACTCAATTTCGTAAGTGGATTTTGGAAGCAAGAGCAGGCTTTCTGAATAGCCATTTGTTTACATCGTCAAATTCTTGTGGATATGACAGTAGGCAGGGTTGTTGGGCTTGTAGATAAGGCGCCTTATCCGTTGGGGGCCGGTCGATCATTACTCCACGACCTCACATTCTGGCCAAGATCTTCAAAACTGCATGTAAGCTGACAGCATCAGGGGCAAACTTAAACAGGAACGCAATGACCGATAATTGTGTTTGCTGCCGCAGGATTTAACACCACTTACGGCTGCATAGCCTTTTGAATTGACCCACTACCAATCGCTTGTCTCGAAGAATCGGCCCAGAAGCCTGGATAGTTTCAGCAATTATGATGCCTAGAGCTCAGCCTCGACTTCAAGCGGGGGATTGACACGCACAGTGGTCACGTCATTACCTAGGGTAGGTAGACAACTTTGATCGCATGCTCTTGCCAAACATCAGAGGACTTATATAAAGGCAATAAGTACCCACTCCACTGAGTAGCTCGCCGCCAAGATCCTTGCAGACTATGAATAACCTGAAGCTTCATCAATCACTCTGACCGATATCGCATCATTAAAGCAACGCCCTCTATCATTGAGTACAAACAAACAGTCCTACGTTTCGCACGAACCTACAACGATGTGTATGCCATTCTCTACCAGGCGTCAAGATCCTATTGATCTACCTCCACGCTACTACAAGAACTACGACAGCGAGTACCCGGTTTCCAGCAGCAGTGCGTATTCTCGGCAAAGAGACCAAGCACGCACGAACAAAATCAATGAAATGAACGCGGCCCGCAAAGCGTCCCGTGACAGAAACAAGAAACGGGTGAAGTCTTTCTTGCTTCGTAACCCCGGTGGTGGAGCGATTGTAACTCATCATGGGGCCATAGCTGGAGCGATTGCTGCTGGCGGTGCTGGTGGATTCTGATGGCGCTTGCATGATGATTCACACATTTTGCTTGCCTCACGGGTACTTCCATGGCTGACCTACAGGTTATTGTGGTATTGAATCTCATAATTCACTGGATTCGAATGGAGTAGTTGGGCAGGATGCTGCATGACCTTTCAGTCTCCTCACCCCGTGTCAGTACGTGGAAATACCACCCCGGAATTGCAGATTTCTCATGTGTATACATTTTTAAATCCTAACAGCATACACATATCTCTACTCTGGTGTTTCTAGACCCTCTAATTCTCTGTGAAGACACTCTTAGCTCCTGCGTCAATAGCAGCCCATGCCTTGGTCAAAAATTTCTCAGGCTGGGTAAACTCATACTCGGGCAAAAGCCTGTTCCACTCATCGGAGACCTTCAAAGCACCATGCTTGATTCCGAGAAGGAAGCACTTGATCATATCCGCAGCAATCTTCTCTCGCATCTCAACTGGAATCGATGGGTGTTCGGGAAGGGGAAGCCATGAAGCTTTGACGATACCGGCTTCGAGGTCCTCGCTTGTCAAATACTCGACTTTGAACTTTTGACCTATTTAATTGGTTAGTATCGCGTCTGGGCATACTCTGTTTTGGGCTGCCCCTACCTCGGATCTTCTCGCCAAGTGCAACAAGTTCATTCATCGTAATATCTGTGCCCTTCACACCACTGACAACCGGCCACTCTCCTTCGTATTCGACAGCTAAAGCAGTCACTTTTGCTGCGTCTTGAGCAGTTGTGAGTGTTATTACCGCTTCACCATCGTCAATGAGAAGGGCTCGGCGGCCATAAAAGTTGACCGGTGTTTCAAAAAGGTTGACGTGCTTGGATGAATTGTATGGGTAGGTCATGTAATTGGTGAAGAGTCCAAACTGGAATAGTGTGTACTCGATGACCTATAACTAAGCGTTAGTGAATCTTGTGTGCTGCTAGATAGCGTGCGGTACCTTTTTGTCCTTGTTCAGCTCTGCAAGGTACTCACGTGCAGACCTCTTGAAGTCGTACCAAGGAAAATATTCCAGATTAGACCTATTCACTGTCAATTATACACCAGTTAATGAATCTGATTGACCTACGAAGCCCATTCACTTGGGGCAAAGCGCTTCACGCCCGCTCGGACTGCCGCATCAATCAACTTCTCCTGTGGCCCTGCAGCTGTATCACCAGGGGCGACAGACATGAAGGATAAAACCGTATGTACGCCCTCTAAGATAGTGGTAAGTTCTTCAACATTGTCGTATTTCGTCTTGAACCACTTCACCCCAGGGGCGATTTCTGTTCCTGGCATATCCTGAGATGTTAGTTGAGAACTTAGAAGTACTACTCAGGAACGTCGCATACCTTTCGAGACAGAATGGTTATCTCATGCTTGTTTCTAGCTACAAGGGCATCCATGACCTCTTGTCCAACATCTAGAACTCGGTCAATAACCTGTATCGCAAATCGAGGATAAATAAGACTTACTGCCGGCCCCTCCAGCAATTGCGATCTTGACCATATTGAACCCAACTTGTATGCTTTATTGACACTGGATGATACTCACGCTTTGAACCATCACTCAACGCTTATCTATTCTGTCTCTTATATACTCTCTTGTACCCTGAACTTCCGCCAATTCGTAGGGTCACTGTGTTCGTCCGCCGACATCGTGAATGCCATGGTCTTTATTCCCGGCGCTTATCTCCGCCTTACCATTTCAACAGATGACAAATCCACCTCAAAAGCTCCGGGAAATCGGCGGGCGAATACCCAGCAGAATCCTTCGACGGTCAGCTTGTGCCTCTCACTCCGTACGCTGTCATACTTTACCATCCTCCTCATTCTATCCTACAATTCAATCATGGGAGAACACGTCTCATTGGACGAGCAATACCCATTGCCTGACTCCGCTCCGGCGGAAAATTCCGCGCCAGCCCCAAAACGTCGGAAGAAGCTACGGAAGGGAACCGTCTCTTGCTGGGAGTGTAAGCGGCGGAAAGCGAAATGCATCTTCTCCGATGATCTCGGTATTTGTGAATCATGCAAGAGGCGTGGTACAGACTGTGTGAGCCAGGAATCTGAGAGGCCGCCCGAAGTTGGAAGCAATAAGCACATCGTAGATCGGCTTGGGGAAGTTGAAGCCTTGGTACAGCATCTTCTCAAGAATGCACAATCTGACAAGCGATCTCGAAATGGCTTGGTTTCACCCTCGAGGTCGGTATCGAGAAGACAAAGCGAAGATGGACATAGACATTCAAAGTCGCCCGCAGCCGTTAACACCAATGCCGCTTCAACAGACGATGCTTCCCTTTCGGTAAGTCAAGTATGAAGGCATGATATCAAGTATGATACTCACAAATGATAGATACATCCCATAGAGCTTACACCACAATCCGAGAGATCACCACCGTCTCGTATTCCCGATGATCCAGGACCCTACGATGCCGTGTACCAAGCCCTGATATCTGCTTGGCCGAGCGCAGAAGACATGCAAATAATCATGAGCGTCCCGGTAGAGTCCTCGCAGATCATCAGAGCAATGACATGCGCACCACCAAAGGAACGCGGCTCAAGGCTCCCATCTCCGTCCAGTTTGCTTCGCTTACCACCACGAGGAGCTCATCCTATCCTCGTCGCCAGGAAAATGCTCGTACTCGCCACCTTTCTACAAGGCACTCTCATCTCGTCAGAAAAGCACCTTGAAAAGCTCAGCACAAGCTACGAGAACATCATGGCACGGATTGTCAAAGTCGCGCATGATCATGTCACGTGCAACGATGATCTAGTTTCATCACTTGAAGGCATAGAATGCATCATGCTCGAGGCTCTTTATGAGAATTACGCAGGCAATCTTCGCCGATCGTGGCTTGCGGCGCGCCGTGCTGTTATGATAGCCCAGGTTTTGGGCCTCAACGAGGGCATCGTTCCATCTTCGGTAAGAGGAGCCACCGTTGAACCAGACGATCTGTGGTTCCGTGTGATCAACCTCGATCGATATCTTTGTTTGATGCTAGGTCTGCCACAGAGCGCACCTGACGAACCAGTTAGTAACCTCGGTCCGGTTGACTCTTACTCTGCAAATCGGAAGATGCAACATCTCTGCTCAATTGCCTGCGCCCGTCTGTTGAGTAGAAGATCATCTGGTGTTTTTGATCAATCACTCACAAGAGAGATTGACAAGTTGTTACGAGATGCATGTACATCTATGCCGGCTCAGTGGTGGATCATGCCCAATTTGTCCTCCCACTACGAACTCGCCGACAAAATCCGCGAGACTCTTCGTTTCAACGATCATTTCATGCAGTATCACCTTCTATTACAGCTCCATATGCCCTATTTATTTAAGGTCGATGGGAGAGAAGAGTGGAAGTACAACAAGTTGACGGCTGTAACAGCAAGTCGAGAGATCCTAACTCGTTTCGTCTCCATTCGCTCAATTCCTCAGTCACGATATCACTGCCGGGGAACGGATTTAATCGCCTTCATGTCTTGTACAGCCTTGACCATTGCTCACATTCTTTGCGATGAGCGCCACAAGCGGATTGAGGAGCAGGGCTTTCACTTTCTCACACAACAGCGGTTGAGTGATCGTGGGCTTATTGAGCAAGTACTAAAAATAGCACAAGACGGAGTGCGTAGAACGAGTGATGATATTTCCAAGAGATTAATGACCCTACTACACTATCTTCTGGCAATTGAGGATAATGTGACAGCTGGGGTACGTTATAGTGTTTCTTTTGCTGAAGAGTCGGTCAGGGATGGGAATTTGGGTCATCACGTCAAAGCCAGTGACGATGGAACAGCTCTCGACATTCATCTACCCAATCTTCCCGTGATCAAGATTCTGAGGCGTGATCCCTATGGAACGGAAAAGCCACCTATCACAATGGAAGTTCCTTGGGGCAATATAGCATTGGACCGGCCAGGGTTGGGGAACACCTTAGGAGATGGCCATTTGGCTAATCCTATACCTTCTTCATCTTTTGATGAAGAAGGTGTTGAAACAGAAACAGATGGGCCGACTTCTTTACAAGATATCCCAGTGGCAGATTCATGGACATTAGAGGGGTTGGATATGAGCTTTCTTGATAATTGGGTGGAAGGGCCAGTTTTTGTCTGAGTGGCCTATGTCTCAAGTATTGGTACTGCTGGAGAATACATATTTTCTTATTCCATTAACATGTGCATGTCCATTTTATCCATATCGCTTTAGCTTCATAAGGCCATGAACTTTGAGACCTTCCCAGACCTCAGTTGTGCTAATTACCTCCCGCCTAAAGTACTCTTACTTCCCTGCATGTCTGGCCAAGAAGTCGTTGTATCTCGTATAGAACTGAACGCATTGCGATGTTTGGGGAAGTATGACGGGGAGCCAATGTGGAAGCCCAGCATAACAGTGAATTTCCACGTCAATGCCGTCTTTCTTGAGAGCATCAGCGTAGGCGAATGAATCATCTCGAAGGACATCCGTTCCACCGCATTGAATCACTAGACCCTGTTAGTTTAAGCATGTAAATCTATGGAAGCGCTTACGTGTTGGAGGGAGCCCCTTGAATGATTCCGAAAGGAGAGGAGAGTGTCTGTAGTCTGGCTTCGCATCAGGGACATGAACATCTAAGACCGTTTCCATGTTCATTGTGCTCAGGACAGCGTCGTCGTAGTTCTGGACATAGCTCCCGTATTCATACTTATCCGTGGGGAAGAATTTGGGATGGCACGTTGATGGAAAATGCAACACTTGTGCGATAATTCCGGTCACATCGTCTCTGACGCACTCTAGAGCGAGTGAAGCTGCCTACACAGTTGTCAGATTCTTTACCATAGGGAAAATGAAAAGGGGGCCTCACGAGTTGGCCGCCGGCGGAGCCTCCACTAATTATGATTTTCTCTGGGTCAACTCCTAGCCTGTCTGCGTTATTCTTGCACTGGAAAGGGTCAGCTCACTAGCTTCAACAGATTTTACGCTGCCAACTCACCCAGATGAGCCCATCGTAACAATCATCGATTGGTGTCGGGAAGGGATGCTCTGGGGCTCTGGATCTATGAGCAAAACTCCTATGTATCTTTTGGAGATGGGGTACTCACGTCCTATAGTCGACACTAACGACAATAATGCTGGTGTTAGTAGCAGCATACACGTTATCCACGCCATCGACTTCGTGGCGACCAAGACACCAGCCTTAAAAGCGTCAGCTAAGCTCATCGATCGGCTGGGTCCATATACATACCACCACCGTGCATTCGATACATCAGAACAGCGTTTTCCTTAACACTAGGAGACTTGTAAACCTTCAGTTCAATCATGGTGCCATCACGAGAAGGGATGTCGATCAGCTCTGTGACAACATCTTTGTAACGATCAGGTCCCTCAGGCGGCATCACTGCGTCTGCATCACCAGCGACTGCGCGGACACTTGGAAAGTCGGGAAGGGAAAAAAGAACTTCATAAGTCTTTCGGATGGAAGGCTCTGCTTGTTCATACTCGGGAGTCTTTTCGGAAAGATGGCCATATTTAGGATGGGGCGTGAAAGGCGCGTCGACGTCGAAGTAATCGTAGGTAGTTTTCATGTAACCCATTGTGGCTGGTAGAAAGTGATCCTAGTTGGTGGTGTAATTGTCAAGGGCTATGGGTTTGAGATAGGCTGAGTATATTTTAGAGGACCTAATGGCCAAGGCGTTGCACGTTTTATCGTATTCCATTTTTGAAGGGACTCTCTGACTTTATAACAAGGCATTGTCTGCTATTTCTTTCTTATCCCCCAGTCTTCGCGGGCCCGAAGACCCGTAGCATCCATTGACAGGAGATGATTCATCACTGCCGTAGCCTATTATGGCTTAGTGTAGGCTCAAACCTGTGGGCCAATTACATCAGGTTGAGTACACGAAGTTAGGAAATGACATTTTTACAGATGGTATTTGGCAGAGAATCGATGTACCTCTTAACTGACCGCGACCTTGCACAACGCTCACCGAAAATAAGAGCTGAATGAATCATTCTGACAATCTGGTTGTGGCAAGTCTCCTACATATTGATTTTTCTCGGCCATTCTTACAGACTGTGCCCATAGCTTATAGCATCTTCCTGTTAGATAAAGCTGTGAGACTTTGGTAGGAAGTCCAGAAGACGGAACATTGTCTCCGTTGTAGCCTTGGGTACAGTGGCTGACTGGCCACTGACCTACCCTGGGTCCCAGCTAATTATCTAGGAGGACAATCAATAAAGCAATAAAATTAGTCGGGTTTGTCAAATCAATCGTTCATGTTACAAGTTACTGTGGTAAATAAATTAGCTTATTCTGTGTTTTGTTGGACCTGCTTTTCTCTGGGCGAGACACCATGTTTTCGTGAGATTTTGATTGCCGACGTTGTTACGCTTGGCATTCGCACCAAGGTTGACAATCAAAAGAGTCAAAAGGTGCGATACATTTTGGCCACTTCTTCTTCGTAATTATCTCAGCGGCGTGTAGATAGAGACAAGCGAGTACTCCTTAATTGTTTTCGTTTCTCAAGTCTCATCCGTAAACGTTCAACAGACCAGCTTATACGACGAATTTCAGTCTTCGGCCCCAACTTTAGGGTAGGCCCTCAACAGAACGCAAGTACTCGATACTTTTTCAGCCCCATCTCCATACGACAAAACGTCGCCATCTACAACAGCACAAAGTAGAGGCGACTTCTCGATCGCTGGACTTGCCATTGGACAAGGCCCTGGTGTCCCTGCCCACGGTCAGGGAACTTCAGGCTCTCAGTTTCACCAAGCAAAGCGCCAGCCTAGACTACAACAATTATTCTGCAACGAGGTCCAGATGGTTGGATGTTCGTCGCTTCCTCATTAATCGCAATTGAACTGACACATCAGACCAAATCTATTCCATCGCGTCTCTATGGTACCGAATCGAGCCACCCTCCACAATTGACTCGACCTGCGACGGTATCCTTCCGATTATGACAATATGATACGATACGATACGACGCGATGCGACGCGACGGACGCCGAGAATCCACATCGAAGTCTTGGTTTGATAGACTCCGTAGAATAGCCCAATACGATTTACAACATCAATCGCTTCCTTTCATGGCCGTGCCATGCTTGCTTGATTATTCCTCGAGACCGCGATTTCGCTTTCCTACAATAGTCATCACTCACTGGGTGGAAGCTATCCATCCATGCGTGTGCATGTGCATGGCTCCAAGCAGACCAGACAGACCAGGCTTGGTGACCTCTTCGCAATCAGTCTTACGTTGAGCGCCCTCGGAACTCCTCTATTACGCCATGACCGTAGTCACATTCCAATGCGAGTCGCGCGACTCCTCGACTTCACGATCTGTTTATTCCGACCACCGATACGAAGCCTCTTAAACCACACCAACATTGTAAAAGAATAATGCTGAACCGTCCCATGTTGCAGTCCAAAGTAACAGCACTGTAGTGGCCCGGAGTGGGATGGTTGAAACATCCAATACTGTCTGGGCCAATCATTAGCGTCATTGGTTAGCAGAGCACGATTGCTGCCTACTCCGTCTGACATGCGTCGTCGTGCTATAAATTCAGGATCACCTCCCTCATCCAATACATTTACGTATAGTAATCGTGCCATTGACATGGTGTTTTGATCTTGGTGTCAAAATGCCCAAATCAGCGAATACCGCTGAAGAATACGATGTCGTTGATCATCAAGACACTGCGCTGAGCCCAGAGACAGTTGCTGAGCTGAGAGAATGGCTCCAGCCCACTGATTACCTCGCCGAAAGCTCAGAGTATCGTCGCCATCTGTTATCCCAGGCTCCAGGCACTGGACTCTGGATATGCGAAACAGAAGAGTATCGCAAGTGGCATGATTCTCCCGACCATGGTAGTCTCTGGATCAAAGGCGTCCCTGGCGCCGGCAAGTCTGTGATGGCAGCCAGTTTGATTCAGCATCTGCGAACAACTGAGAACTGTCCCGTTCTATTCTTCTTCTTCCGGAACATCGTCGCTGCGAATTTCTCTCCACGTGCCCTGATTCAAGATTGGCTTGCTCAATTGCTGCCATATTCCCCCAAGTTGCAGTTTGCTCTTCAATCGCGACTCCAGGACAGCTTAGATGACACCTCGGACAATGAGCTCATTCAACTCTTCCTTGACGGCGTCTCGTGTGTGCCCCTGCTTTACTGTGTTGGCGATGCGCTCGATGAGATGTCGACTGATAGCACGCCAATCTTGGAGAGGCTCAACGGTCTCGCTACTCATCGGCCCAGAACATTGAAGTTGCTCATGACCAGCAGACCCTCTCGCACCCTGCAGAGTACGCTACGAGATTCATCCATCGTTCACATTAGCCTGCAACAGCGCCTCGTGGATGTCGACATCCATTCATATCTCAATCATCGCTTTGACAATACCCCAGTATTGGAGCATCATCGTGAGGCGAAAAAGGATCTCATCAACATGGTCGCCGAGAAATCACAAGGCCTATTCCTCTACGCCAAGCTGACCATGGACCAAGTTGAAGATTCCCTTCAATCCGATGCAGCTCTCAACATTGAAGATCTCGAGGCATCACTTCCGGTAGGCCTGGAGCAGACGTACACGAGCATGCTGGAAAAGCAACGAGGAGAGCCTGGTATTACTGCAGATGTTCAAGTCTTGATACTTGAGGCAGTCATTCATGCATCGCGCCCTCTCCGACTGAATGAACTGGCGAGCCTCTTGAAGTGCGTTCGCACTGACATCACCCAGCCCAGTGCCTTCAAAAGTTTGATCGCAACTAGCTGTGGGCCACTGATTGAGATCCTCGAGGACGAGACTTTGCAGGTAATCCATCACTCATTCACGGAATTCCTACGTGGAGATACTCGCAGCGCCTCCACTGTTGGTGCATCTGAATTCCCAATCATCGACTCTCTTCAGGCACACAAGCATATGGCCATGAACTGCCTTTTCTATCTGCAGTCCGGATCACTACTACTAGAGAGCGAGCAATCCAACAACTCAGCTGTCGATCCGTCGGTGACATTCGAAACACCCAGACACAAAATCGATCATGATGCGTGGCATTACAGATATGAGCACCTTGGTCTTCGCGATGAACATGATGCTTTCGAGTACAGATCAGCTCGTCTACGACATCCATTCCTCAGCTATGCGGTCGAGAATTGGCCATACCATGCCTCAAACTACGACATGGATGATGATGAATTCTTCAAGACCATCAACGACTTTCTCGATTCTAAGAGCCTTTCGTTTCTGCGATGGCTTGTCCTGCAATGGGGATCAACATCAAGCGACAAAGGGTCACTGAAAGGGATACCTACGGGTCTTCACATCGCAGCCTTTGCAGGACTAACTCAGTTCGCTTCACAGCTTCTCAAGCAAGGCGCATCAGTCTCGGCAGTTGATGCTCAAGAGCGGGTTCCATTACATTGGGCAGCGAAAAATGGCCACGATAGAGTCGCCGCGCTCCTCATTCAATACGGGGCCAATCCCGATGCTGAAGACGGAAGGGGGTTGAAGCCCATCCATCTCGCAACCTTGAAGAATTACGCCAAGGTCGTGGTCGCCTTACTTGAAGCAGGTGTTAAACCAAACACGATAAAAACAAGGGAAAACCGAACAGGGCGTCTTCTAGGTGGCGAAAGAATTACAAAAGGTGAATGCTCTATATACTATGCCAGTAGAGGAGGGCACTTGGAGGTAGTCACTGTCATGATACCATTCTGCGAGCCACAGATGCTGGAGCAACTTCTGTGCCAGTGCTGCCAGTTCGGTCGAGCAGACGCAGTTCAAGCAATCTTGAACAACTCGCCTGTCTCGCCTGATGCAACCTACGAAGGGGCGACAGCGTTGTATTTTGCTTGTGCCATACCCGATGTCAAGTGTGTCGAAGAGCTCATTCGTGCAGGCGCAGATGTGAACAAGGTATCCCAATGGAAACCGAGACGACGGATGAATGGCCCACGTCCTCAGAAGCGGGAAGACGCAACACCGTTACATCACCTCGTGGAGGCCTGGGAAGATAAGAATGATTCCGATAGCCAACAGATCCTGAGAATGTTACTGAAAGCTGGCGCTGACCTTGAACGGTTGGATGGCTGTGGAAGAACTCCCTTGATCATTTCAGTGCAAGATCCACGATATTCCAACGAGAGGCGAAATCATTTACCGGCCCTAAAGGCTTTAGTGAGAGCTGGCGCCAATGTCAAGGTCCTTAACCAGCACTGGAATACTGATACGATGCTGCACCAAGTTCTTGAACACAGCAGAGACGTAGAAGCTATCCAGCTTCTGGTGGAATATGGGTGTGACCCGACGCACAGAAACAAGAATGGAGACACAGCTCTGCACAGAGCTGTGTCCGAGACGGGCTCTTACAAGCCAGATACCGACTCCAGAAGGATGGATATTGTGAAATATCTCCTTAGCCAAGGTGCTGATCCTTGTTGCAAGGATAAATACGGAAGAACACCGGTCGGGATTGCCATGTCCGGAGGGCCGGATTTATTCCAAGCCTTGTTCGACAGGGCAAACGATATCTCCGTGAGGAAAAATTGCTGGTTTAACCTTTCAGGGATAGACGATGCAGACAGGTTCACTCACTATCTTGAACTTCTACTTGCCGAAGGGATTGATATCGAGATGGTGGATTCAGACGGCAAGACTCTCTATTTCAATTGTGTACGAGGAGGTAAGGATCGATTGCGCATCCTGAAAGATCATGGTGCACGGACAAATACCACAGACTCCAAAGGGAACAATGCATTGCATCATCTTTGCCTCTACGGAACGAGGCGTACAGAGGAAATGGAAATGTTCATAGACGAAGGCCTTGACCCTCTTGCCACCAATGACGACGGAGACACCCTTTTACATCTTGTCGCAAGGGGGTATAACGGTACAAGAGAATCTGCCGGTCTTCTTGGTTGGCTCCTCAGTCTTGGGATTCCGGTTAACGCTATCAACAACCAGGGGGCCACTCCTTTACACGTCTTCCAAACCCGTAGACGCACTGGGAGTACTTTGCTTGATAACAAGCGCATTCACTTCTTGGATGTTTTAAACCGGAACGGTGAGGTCGACCTGCAGATCCGTGATAACGATGGGCTGTCACCGATTCATCTGGCAGTCATGAGATCAGAAGTTGAAATGGCCGAGCTCAAGAAACTTGGTCTCGATTTCAATTATTTAACTTCTGACTCACAAAACGTCCTTCATCTGGCATGCCGAGCTCGTAAAACCAGCATCGTTGCCCAGATTCTGGAAACAGTTCCGAATATAAATATGAACCAGGAAGACCAATTTGGCAGAACACCACTTCATTATGCCTGCAGTTCTGGCGACCCCGAGATTGTTGCCTGGCTTTTACGCTTCGGCGCTTCGACCTACATCAAGGCGAACGATGGCTCTTCTGTCTTGCATGCTTGTGCGGATATCAGAATTGAGCAGAGCCTATGGAACCTACAAGCACGAGAGTCTCCATGGCTTCGAAGATCATGCGCTGACCCACTTCGGCCTTGTGTTGGTAACGATTATCTAAGAGAGCCTTGGTATCGGGCTAAATACTCTACTCCCAATGTTGATATTCAGAGACATTCATCGCCAGGAGTTGCCACCATCATTAAAATGCTCGTTGAGCATGGTGTTGACCTTGGTTGGTTAGATGATCGTAAACGAACAGCCCTGGATTTGGCTCTCTTTGTAGGATGCCCTGATTTTGCGGAAGTCTTTTCAGAGGACGAAGAACTGTTCAAAATGGCTACAGTCCAACTAGAGAAGGAGAACGACAGTGAAAAGGTGGAAGAAATGCGGAGAGGCCTCAAATTACAAATGCTTCTGATGCGTCCGAAATCTTGCTGGGAAACCTTACATCAAGATGAAGATGGGTTCAAGAGTCTTATGGACAAGCCCCAAACCTTCCTCAGCCTCCTCTCCGCCCATGATTCTGCGAAATTAATGGACCAGTGCGTTGAAACTGCACCATTAGCAACGGGAACCTACAAGCTACTCGAGCAAATTATGAGGCCGAGTAGCTGCCAGACTATCAATCATCTTTCTGCTATCGAGCATGCACCAGGACTCATCAAGTATTACAGCAACTACGAGAATGTAAAAGCAAGGCTCGAGAAAGAGATCCTTGAGGAAAGCTGGCATCCGGAGTCCCTTATGACTGCGCTAGGCCTGGCTTGCTCCCAAGAAGAGTCAAACGTACTCACATTGAGGTTACTTGTCGAGAAATTGAAGGTTGATGTCAACGCCAATTTTGCGATGTCTATTGGCGACGGATACGACAATCGCAGCGGCGTAACCTCAGGTGGAACGGCACTGCATGTCCTTGCCGAGGCGAATCAACACTGGCAGTTGGAAGGCTTGAGGTATCTGACAAAAAATGGAGCCAACGTTAATGCTCTGAACAGAGATGGACAGACACCACTCCATATTGCAGCTGGGGGGTTGATCCATGAGAACCGCGATGTGAAAGGTCTAGCGAGGCTAGAAGCTGTCAAGATACTCCTTGACAATGGAGCTGACATCAACGCGCTTGACAACGCCAAATTGACTCCCCTACATAAGGCATCTAATGCACCAGATATCACAAAGGAACTGCTAGGAAGAGGTGCAGACGCAACTATAGGAAAGGAAAGCCCTTTATTCGAAGCAATTTTCGACCAGAACCAGGAAGTATTGGAAGCACTCCTCAAACACGGGTTGAGTCCCGACATAGTCAGCGAAATAAAGCACAGCCGAAATGTGCATTACAACCTGACCAAGTCACGCCGTGTTTATCCTGTTCTTTGCGCTGCCTTTGCCCAAAAGCTCAATACACAAGTTGCCAACACAATGCCTTTGCTACGAAATCTCATTGGGCATAGAGCAAATCTCTATCTGCCTCTGAACGACGATGAGACGCTAATTCATTTCCTCTTTGTGTACCCGGATTATGAAGTTATTGACGAGCTTCTGAAGCCGCCATGCGCGTCACAAATTGACTTCAACCATCGCGACCAACAGGGCCAGACTGTTCTTATGGCTGCTTGTAACTGGCGGGAAACTTTACCTGGGTTCTCTCACAGACATTGGGAAAAGCTCCCGACAGGGCCTCCTGTGCGGATGCTGGATCTTGGAGCCGATGCAACTCTGGTTGACAACCTTGGCAAGACAGCTCTCCACCATCTGCTGAGTAACTCTGGTTTGCCGGATGATACACTTATTGAGTTCATAAATCGAACAGAGGTCGCCCCAATCCTCTTTCAGGTAGATCAGGAAGGATATTCGCCGCTCCACTATGCTTTTCGACTATTGCGCCCTCGAGTTTGTGAAGCACTCCTTATGAAGGGGGCTGACCTGCTTCAACCTGATCCACAGGGCCGAACTGCTCTCCACTACATAGCCTCGCAATGCCTCCTCAATACCCGAGAACCTGGATCCCCAGGTCGACTAAACATCGAGCTTGGTGACGATTACTTCCAGCAGTGTCATGCTCTGTGGGAAAAATTCATTGTTCAAGGAGGTTCCATCAACGTTCCCGACAAGGCTGGAAATACGCCTCTGCACACATATCTCTCTTCGCCAACAAATAACGGGTATAACTGTCACCCAGAATCATGCCATACTGATCACTACGCGATTCTGTTCCCGGGAGATAGCGGTGTCGATATTCTTGCGCTGAACAAATCAGGAGAGGGAGCGCTACACATGATTGCAGGGAGAGTGAATACCTATAGCACGGTTGAGGGACATGACAAGAAATTGTTTGTTTTGATGATAGATAAAGGTTTGGATCCACTGAAGGAGGATGAGAAGGGAAGAAGTGCGTTGGATATCGCGAGTGCTTGTGAGAAGGATGATATTGTTGGCTTGCTTGGGAGGAAGTGAGGGAGGTAATGAGAATACTAGGCATAAGTTACGAGGTCCACATCCGCTGCTCTCCAATTTATTCCGTATACGGCAAAAAGTCTAAGCATGTCCAGCTTGTGACTTGGGCAGATTCTAAGACATATACGCGATAATCACTTCCGTACAGGGCTAGTCCACAGAGGCTCGAACCTCCCCCTCTTTCAGCGAACATCACTCACAATGGAATATATACGCGATTACTTCGGGGTTAAGTCATTTCGTTGTATCATGAACTTTGTTATCTGACACGGGATCAGTAGCCGTGCCCCTCGGTCCGAGGCCCCGGCTTCGTCCAGGCTGTAGTCGCACAATTGGTACAGTTGGTACATTTGGCACTAACAATCATGAAGTGGGGGGGACGAAGCCGAGTGCCTTCGGGATCTAGGTATCCGGTGCATGTCTCGTCTTGTACGATAGACTGGTAGTACATATGCAACATGATTCGTCTGGCGTCCTCCTTGACGTTGATCAAAGTGCGGGGGTTGTTCAGCTGAAATCAGAATTAGAAATTATAAAAAGATTGAAACAAACCCTATTTTCCCTCCTTCTCATGTCAAGTCTCGTATTGCTCTTCATTATTCATCATGGCCACCAACGGAACCAAGTCTCAACCTATTAGCCTTAAGGATAACTATGTCCAGATCATCGATGGAAAAAGTGCCCCTACCCAAAAGAGCCACCAAGGCATAAACCCAGCAACTCTTGAGAAGAAGCCCCCAGTCCCTGTCGCCACCCAGGATGATTTGAACCGAGCCGTTGACGCTGCTAGGAAGGCCTACAAGTCTTGGTCAAAGGTTCCTTGGGAGGAACGAAAGCAGAAGCTGTTTGCTTGGGCTGATGCCATTGAGGCTCAGAAGAAGGAGTTCGCCGACCTACTTGTCTCTGAGCAAGGCAAACCTGTAAGACTTTGGTGCTGAGCTAGGAAGAAGCAGAATACTGACGATTTAGATTGCTCAAGCTTCTGGCGAGGCTGAGGCTGCAATTGCCTGGGTCAGAGGTCAAGCTAGCATTGATCTCCCCGAAGAAGTCGTCGAGGATAGCGAGAGCCGCAAGATCATCACCAGATACACTCCTCTCGGTGTAGCAGCTGCTATCGTTCCATGGAACTTCCCCCTCATGCTGGCAGCCGCAAAGATTGCACCCGCTCTTGTCACAGGAAATGTGATCATCGTAAAGCCATCGCCCTTTACACCCTATTGTGGCCTGAAGCTGGTTGAGCTGGCGCAGCAGTTCTTCCCCCCGGGTGTTGTCCAATCACTCAGTGGTGATGATAACCTTGGCCCTTGGATTACCAGCCATGAGGGTATTGATAAGATCAGCTTTACGGGTTCGACTAATACTGGAAAGTTGGTGATGCAGAGTGCGGCCAAGACACTTAAGCGTGTTACTCTTGAGCTGTACGTATATCTCTAGATGTGCTTATGGTAGCTAATACTTAGCAGTGGTGGCAACGATGCTGCTGTTGTGTTCCCTGATGTGGATATCGAAAGCGTAGCTGAAAAGGTAGGTCTTGTGGCAGGCCCAAACAATAATCAGCTTTGCTAACTAGCAATAGGTCTCTACGCTTGCATTCATGAACTCAGGCCAAATTTGCCTCAACGTCAAGCGAATCTATGTCCACGAATCCATCTACGAGAAGTTCCGCGACGCCGTAGTGAAGCACGTCAAGAACTACAAGCTCGGCGACGGTTCGTCCGAAGGAACCAGCCACGGTCCTGTCCAGAACGAAATGCAGTACAACAGAGTAAAGACATTCTTCGAAGACATCGAGAAGCAAGGCTGGAAGGTCGCTACGGGTGGCAAGTTTGATCCTGCGCCTAAGGATGGGTATTACATCCAGCCCACTGTGATCGATAACCCTCCCGAGAACTCAAGAATTGTGGTTGAGGAGCCTTTTGGTAAGTTCCGGGCGACACTCAGTCTTGGAATAGCCACTGACATAATAGGCCCTATCCTCCCCATCCTTTCATGGAAGGACGAAGATGAAGTTATCGAGCGCGCCAACGATACCAAGCTTGGTCTTGGAGCCTCCGTCTGGTCTGCGAACATTGAAACAGCAGAGCGAGTGGCTAAGCAACTTGAGGCAGGAACTGTCTGGGTCAACAACCATTTTGATATCACTCCCATGGCTCCCTTCGGTGGTCACAAGCAGTCTGGAATCGGTGCTGAGTGGGGTATCAACGGACTCAAGGGTTTCTGTAATGTGCAGAGTCTCTTCGTGAGCAAACTTTAGGTAGTTAGGTATCATAATCCAGTTTAATACAGACTAGGAATATCTCGACGAATCTCATAGTTTGATGGTGCTAGCTGTTACTCAAATCTTGACAGCTTGACCTCTACTACCTGTCCACCAGAGACAGCCAGGTTGTTCTGCCCAGATGTAACAACATACAAGGTCTTTCCGTCATTGCTAAATGTAGCACTGCTAGGACCGGCAAGAAGTCCATCCTTAAGAATAGTTTGTTTCCCTCCCTGAGTGATCTTGACAACCCTATCCTGCCAATAAACAACATACGCGTTTCCATGTCGATCCATGGCAAAGTCATCTGGGGCATAAGGGGAACCCTTTTCAAGCTTGGCAAGAACCTCGAAATCGCCAAGTTTGTTTCCCATATCATCAATCTTCACTCGGTTAAAAGACTGATGAGCCGTGTTTGTAAAGTAAAGGTAGTCGTTGAAGATCTTGATTCCGTTAACACCAACGGGAAAGGGCCCGCCAGGAACAGGTGCGAGTGCTTTATCCTTCATAGCTACTTCAACATGTCCAGTAGTCGTATCGATTCTCAGAATCTCGCCCCGTTCGGCGTCAGCAGCAAGAATAATGTGCTTATGCCGTGGAAGGGCCGAGATACCATTGACCGGCCCATACTTGGACTTTTGAAAGACAGTGGATATGGAGAAACTATCGCCATCAAACTTGAGAAGAGAAAGGTTCATGGTGTTATTCTGATACATCCCCTCAAAGATGCCTCCGGTCACAGCAAAGACATCTTGGCCAACCTCGGCGATACCAGATAGTGCGTTCACTCCCTCGATTTTGAAAATAGGGTTGGACGCAGAAGGTCTCGCAGTCGGAGAAAAGGTATATACCTTTCCTTCTCCAATTGTGGTCATGAGAAGATCCCCGTTGGAACGGATGGCGACGTTTTCTATCCAAGTGTTTGAAATTTGGACGAGTTCAAGGGCCTTTGGTCGAGATGAGGAATAGTAAAAGGCTCCAGTACTGATGAAGGCTATGAGACTTGCTGTAAATGTATAGCGCATGATGGATTTGATGCTATACTGATTTTAATGAATCAAAATAGTAGATACACAGTGAGCTTGATGAACTTAGACTCGAATTATGAGGTTACGAGAAGCTACTGACGAGGGGACGTGAGTATTTAAGTGACCCATCGATATCTTGACCAGCATGTGTTTGTCAGTCTCGGCTTTAAGCTACTTAATTACACGATCGTATATTAAGTTTGATGAGGGCAGGGTTAGAAATTAGTTTAGTTTAGTATACTAATACTAAAAAAAAAATACTAATAGTATACTAATACTAAGAAAAAATTAGTATTAGTATACTAATACTAAAAAAAATTAATATTAGTATATTAATACTAAGAAAATATTTTTTTAGTATTAATATACTAATACTAATTTTTTTTAGTATTAATATACTAATACTAATTTTTTCTTAGTTTAGTAAATACTAAAAATAAATACTAATTAGTATAAATACTAATAGTATTTATATTAAGTAAAAATACTAAAGAAATACTAAATACTAATTAATATTAAAGAAATATTTTATAGTTATAATTTATATTAATTAAATAATTAAATARTTAAATARTTAAATARTTAAATAATTAAATAATTAAATAATTAAATAATTAAATAATTAAATAATTAAATAATTAAATAATTAAATAATTAAATAATTAAATAATTAAATA